GGCATCTTTGATCCTCTTGGGCCGTACAGGAGGCTATCTTGGACCATCTTGGGCGAACTTGGGGGCGATCTTGGCCGTCTTGGAGGACATCGTGGGCCATCTTGGAGCCATTTGGAGCAGGAAAAACCTTGGCGACCACCCTTTCAGGGTGGCCTGCGCGCTGTGCCGAAACCCCAGGGGGAGTCTTTGAACAACCAACAACCTTTTAGAACATCCAGCACGCCGAGCACCCTTGTGGCAAGTCAATTGGCGGCGTATCGAAGACGCCTACGGCGAATCACCGCCGCCCCCTGCCTTTGTGGACGCGCCTATGTGTCCGACAGCTGGGCTAGAGCTTGGCCAAGCTGTCGGACCATGTGTTCCCCGAGTCGGTTTGGAAAGGTTTCGGGGAACGCGGGGGGGAAGAAGGGGAGGAGGAGGAGAAGGAGGAAAAAGGAGAAGGGGGATGAGGCACTCTTGGGCTCGATTGGGCCATCTTGGGACCGTCTTGGGGGCCATGTTGGAGCTATCTTGGGCTCTCTTGGGGCCTCTAGTGGGCCTCATGGGGCTCTTTTGGGGCTTCTCGGGGGCTTCGTTGGCCGTCTTATGGCGTTCCAGGCCCGTCTGATGCCGTCGGGAGCCGTCTTGGGGGCCTCTCTGACCCGACTTGGGGCCCTCTTGGGGCGCTTCGGGTCCGTCTTGGAGGCCAGCTTGGCCGTTTTGGAGGCCTCTTGGGCCGTCTTGGGGCCCTCTTGGGGGCTTCTTGGGCCGTCATGGGGCCATCTTGAGCGATTTTTGGGCGATCTTGGAGGCCTCGTGGGCCGTCTTGAGGTCTTCGGAAGGCCGAAAAAAAGCAAATGCCCAAATCCTTCAAACAACTAAGGAAAACGAATGATGTTGGCCTCTTCGGGCTCTCCTTGAGGACCTCTTGGAGGCGTCTTTGGGGGCTCTTGGGGGCCTCTTGGGCTGCCTTGGACCATCTTCAGGCTATCTTAGGCCGTCTTGGAGGCATCTTGGGCCATCTTGGAGGCATTTTGGGGCCATCTGAGCCGTCTTGGAGGCCATGCTGGCCGTCTTGGAGGCGTTTTGGAGGCCATCTTGGGCCGTCTTGGAGCCGTCTGGAGCAGGAAAAACCCTTGGCAACCACCTCTGGGCAATCTGGAAGATCCTTCCGGGTGGCCCGCGGGACGGGCCGAAGCCCCAGGCGGAGTTCTTTTGGAAAAAGAACCAACACCAAAACCGAAAGGGTCCAGCACGCCAGGCACCCCTGCGATGAATCGACAGGGGGCGGCGGATCTGGTGGATTTCGGCCCATCCCGCCACCGTGCGTGGGTTGTGGGTCGGAGTCCTCAGGGATGCTTTCTCGGCGGCCTCTGGGGGGCAGCTGTGGAGCTTCTTGGGAGCCTCTGGAGGGCCTCTTGGGAGCCTCTTGGGAGCCTCTTGGGGCTTTCCTGGGGGCCTTTTGGGGGCTTTTGGGGGCCTCCTGGGGGCCTCCCGGGGCCGACCGAGGGCTCAAAATGTCGGTTCGTGTCCCCCGTCTGGGCTGCTTCTTGAGGCCGTCTTGGGGGCCTCTTGGGCCGTCTTGGAGGCCTCCTGGGCCGTCGTGGGGCCCTCTTGGGCTGTTTTGGGGCCCTCTTCGAGGCCTCGTCGGTTGTCTTGGGGCGATGGATGGGGCCTCTTTGGTCGTCTTGGAGCGTCGGGAAGCCGAAAAGGCGAGAATGCCAACGTCATTCAAAAACCTATGGAACATCACTGTTTTTTGCCTCTTGGGGCCTTCTTGGAAGTGCTCTTGGAGGCCCCTTGGAGCGTCTTCGAGGCCTCTTGGGCCGTCTGGGGGCCATCTTGGGCGTCTTGGAGCGATCTTTCGGCGATTATGTGCCCTCCTGAACCGTCTGGGCGGTCTCCCGGTACTTTCTCGGCCTGTCTTCGGGCCCTCCTGAGCGAGGGGACCGTCTTGGAGGCCCACGCGACGAGTTTCTACATATTTGGGGGCCCTCGCCGGGTCCCGGGACCGTCAACAAAACGTGCCAGGATGAAACCTTGGTCCGAGAGAGCAGGTCGAGACCTTTCGGGATCGACGTTTCGAAAAAAGTCCTGATTCCGAGGCTTTGCCTCCTCCCGGCCTCGTTCTGAGGCTGTGCCCCTCTTTCCCTTCCCCATCTCTGGTTAATTCGAGCTTCGCGCGGCCCGCTTAGCTTCGCCCGGAAGAGGTGCGCTCTCGACCCGCGAATCAGAAACGTTTTGAAAGAAGTCATGGCGCCGGGGGTCCGGGTGGAGGGCCTCCGGGAGCACCTGGAGTGGGGCCGGGTGGGCAGGTCCGGCGCCCCGCGGAGCGGAGCGGCGCGCCATCCGCTCGCAGGGCACACACAGCGTGTCGCTGGGGCCCCTGCCGCGACACGCCAAGAAGCAACAGCTCCCGACCGCAGAAAATGGTTATAGGGGAAGGGACAGATCAAGACGAGCCCATACGTTTCCTCTCGCAAGTTCTCTCGATGACGCCCGCTCGCGTGTGCGAGCCGCGGCCCTCGCGCGCCAGCCTACACCTCCTTGTGCTCGGTTAGCTGCGGTGGGGGGGGGTCGCCCCGGACGTCCGAGGGCACGGCTTCTTGTCCGGTGGCACGGGCCTCCCTCGGGCCCCACCGCCGGGGGGCCGGCTGCCCACAGAGGCGTTGACGGCCCAGGGTCGGAGTCGGAGGACGACGCCAGGATCTCACAGACCACGACGTCGGTTGACTGGGCGTCTGTTCTCCTCCACAGTCGTTGACTGGGCGTCTGTTCTCCTCCACAGTCGTCCCCTGGACCCCTGCTGGCGTGCGCTCTGGCCAGAACTGGGCGGGGGATCCGGCCTCGGCGACTGGAAGCCTCCTGCGGGTCCCAACAGACAGAAGCAGTGCTCCCAGGCGCGCCGGCGTCTTCGTTTCACCGGGGAGGCAGGGGCGAGGAGTGTCCTGCGGCACGGCAGCCTTCCCACTCCCCAGTCCCTCTTCATGTGGTGGCATTGTATCATGGGGGTTGCCTTGCGGTGATAATGAGGAGGACGACGACGACCACGACGACGACCACGATGATGATGATGATGTTGATGTTGATGATGATGATGATGATGATGATGATGATGATGATGATGATGATGATGATGATGATGATGATGATGATGATGAATAAGAAGAAATGCTTATGATGATTATGAGGAGGAGGAATGAGAGGAGGATGAGAAATAGGAAGAGGAGGACGAGGATGAGGATGACCAGGATGATGCATATTCCGATGATGCTGCTGACGATGATGATACTGATGATGATGACGATGCTGTTAATGCTGATGTTGTTGATGATGCCGCTAACGATGATGATGCTGACGATGATGATGATGATGATGATGATGATGATGATGATGATGATGCTGATGATCATGATGATGATGATGATGATGATGATGATGATGATGATGATGGTGGTTGTGATGATGGTGATGATTGTCCCGCTGATGAACATAATCATAATGATGCTGATGATTGTGATAATGCTTATGATGACGATGCTGATGATGATGCTGATGATGCTGATGATGCTAATGCGGATGCTGATGATGCCGATGATCGTGATGATGTTAATGATGATGATGATGATGATGATGATGATGAGGAGGATGATGATGATGATGATGATGATGTTGCTGATGCTGATGCTGATGGCATGGTGATGATGATGCTGATGATAACGTTGAGGCTGATCACGAGGAGCATGACAATGAGGCTGATGATAATGTCATACGGATCGTGGTCCGGATGATAATGATGATGAGGATGGTGATAAGAATGAGGATGATGATGACGATGATGATGATGATACTCATGATGATGATGATGATGATGATGATGATGATGATGATGGAGATTGAGATGATGATGATGATGCTGATGATGATGATTCTGATGATGATGGTGACGACGACTATGACGATGATGATGACGATCATGATGATAGTGATGATGATTGATGCTGCACGTAATGAGGTGAATGATGACGATGTCAATGCTGTTCCTGATAATGCTGATGCTGATTATTGTGATGATGTTGCTGATGATGATGCTGATGTTAGGGATGCTGATGATGCTGATGATGATGTGGAGGCT